CATTAGATTAGACGGAACTTTAGACTGTGCCGATCAGACAGGGGAAGTTTTAAGGCAAACAGGATACAGATAACAGCTAAGTACTACTCAAGATAGGGCTGGGTACGATAGGAACAAATCCAGACTGATAATGATTTACAATGAAAAGGGTTGGTAAATATGTTATTATGAATGGTTTTCTAAAGGCTTGGATAAAAGAGAAGTAGGGCTGTCAAAGTGCATGCGTATGTCAAAATTAAAGGTGCACCATGTATATTTTCTGGTCTCCATGGAGATGATATTGCTTTGATTACAAGAATCCACAGTATAGCTTTAACTGACCACTAAAAGACCAGTTACAAGTTACAGGGCAGATCTGTAAATAGGAGGACCCAGTCATAGTAAAAATGCACAATTCTGCAAAATAGAGTTGAAGGTAAATGCCATATTGCATATTATTTTAAACAAAGTAATAGCATGTCTAAAAGCAGCTCCTTACCTTTTTGCCATTTTCTATAGATCCACAAAATTACTCATCTTGAAAATATGTTCCCATTGCACCCAATAATTTCCAACCCCAATCTCCATAGAATTTAGAAGCGTCCAACATTATCTCCGTAGTCCGTAAAGATATTGCACTCCTACTGGTTTAAAAGTTACACAACTGAACCTGGGATGCCATTTTAGGACAGATAAAGTGATCCAAATCCAAAGACCTGGCAACCCAAAGTTGGACAAGACACATGTAAAACAACAACTTTCACATATTGTAAAATGTTTTATGACTGTGAAAAAAATAAATCAATAAATTTGGGCAAACTCCATATGTGATATTTCTGCCATTTATTTTTTAACAAAACTAAATCCCTTCAGGGCTGCCATAAGGTGTCAAATTTCAGTACCATGTAGAGCCACACAAAATACACCCCACTATTAATTTTACCTCTGTATCGTTTACAGAGTTGAACTTAAACTGCACTTAGCTTGGATCAAAATTCACACATCTCTCAACTGCTCCAACAATGTGCCAAGAAAGAAAGAAAACCATACTACTTCTGTGTTCATCCACTGTGTGAAAACAAAACAAGCGAACTCTCTGTCCTGGCTGCTCTCACAAACATGTAAGAGTGAACTGTGAGTGGGACAACAATGAGATGAGTGAATCCATGGCTGTAATGGCATGTATGTGTGTGGACTGGCTGTTTTCTGTCAGGAGATCAGCGGAACAGATCTCACATGACATGGGGAGGCTGCAAGTTCAAATATAAGGGGGTGTATTCAGGCGGAAGGATACTGTAATATCTATATGTACAGTCTGTGGTGAACTGTTGATAGGACTACATTTTCACAAAATTGTCTTCTCACAACCATAGACTGTAGGGGTGTAACGATACACAAAAATCACAGTCCGGTACATATCTCAGTTCTGAAGTTACGGTTTGATTCATTTTTGGTACAGTATGAGAACAAAATGCGTGTTGTTATTTGTGTGTTTATTAAACCAACAATTAGTTTTAACATTATAATAATGTTAAAACAAAAAGCTCTAGTGTGTCCTGTGAGGAGCTCTGTCAGATTCACCTCTAAGCTGTGGAGATACTGGCGGGCTTGTCTGTATACATTATAACATGTACTGTATTTATTATCTTTTTATTCTTACTATTGTCTTTTTAATACTATGAACAAGATATCATGTGTTCTTAATAAAGATTGAAATGAATTGAATTGAATTGAATGGGGGCCGAGATTTCGTCCCGGCGAAAGTCAGGATCGCGGCACGACAACTGTAGTTTTGAAAGGATTCACGTGGTTTGGAGAGACGTGGGGGGGGTGGCAATTGTTGTCAAGGTGGCCACCCTAACTATAAAGCACTGCAGGGAAAAACTGCCACACCAATCACGGACGAGTTCCCTCATGAGTATTAAAGAGCCAAGTCTTCCGTGTAGTAGCGGAACGCAACAAACCAAAAGTCCCATACCGAAGTGGTTTGGCACGAATACATGTAACATTACACCCCTACTAGACTGTATAGAGAAGTGAAGAACTAAGTGAAGAACTAAGGGAGTGTGACATCACTCATAGCATTCAGCTCCAGTCAAATGAACCTCATGAGGTTGGCAGTTGTAGGGGCAAATTTGGAGCCAGTCCCTTTTTGAAATAGGAATTTATTTATGGACAAAATGGTGAAATCATCAGGATCACATAGAGCGGATTAATATGAATATTTTAAGACCAAAATGACTCACTGCAGCAGTTTTTCAATGCAAAGTCAAGAGTCGATGGAGCCGGAAGAACCCCCCCTTGCTCACTTCAACATGGTGGCTAGCAGGTTAAGCTAAGTCCATATTCTAGAATATACAATCTCTTTTCAGAACATAAGACCAACAGTTGACATCTGCAGAATGAAATGTCCCTCACCTGAAACTTCCACACAGACATCCACTTCAGTAATACTCATACTTCATAGTACTTTTAACCAGGGGTGGGCAATATTTACAAAAAGGCATATCTTGAGTATTATGGCTACAATAATCTGAAGATATTTTGGTAACACAACAGAAATGTACTGTTCATGTCTATTGGTTGAGGTTTAAGTATAAGACAAATGTGAAAATTCTAGTAAAAATGCTGTACCTGATTGTTACAGTCTTAAAAACACGAAAAACAGAAATAGTTAATTAACGGTTTTCACTCGCTTACCTTATGCATTCCAAGCATCCTATTTATTCACCGCAATGAGTTTATGAGTGCTTTTCACAACTCTGAGAGCAGTGTTTTGCCATGATTGTAAAGCTAAAAAATAACCAACATGCAAATGTGCACTTCCTGATTGTCATTATCTGTACTGGGGCAAGATTTTGCTCAAATACATGGGGGAAAAAAATCAGGGCTTTTACAACAACTTTTTGGGGAAAAACACAAAATGTAAAGTGTGGTACCCCAGCTTTAACTTCACTTTTCTTTCTATATTACACCACACATTACTAGTCCCTTATCAACTACTAAAAACACATATTCTATTTGTTTAACAGTATTTCACATTTGACACAAAGCATCTGTAAGTGTGCTTGTTCCTTCCTCAGAGAGCAGTGTTCTGAGCTGTTCTGAGCTACCATGTGCATCACGCGGTAGATGAATGCTCCCAGACAGATCCATCACAAAGAACTGTGTGTGCCTGTCTCCTCCGGTGCAGTGAGATCATAGGGACGCTGGGTGACATAGACAGACAAGCCCCACATCATTGAAAAAAAAAAAAAAAAGAAACTGGCCAAACACTGCTCTGAAAGGCTACCGGGACGCTGCTGAGGACAAGCTGAAGACATAAGCACATTGCACAAGCGTTTTATAAAGTTAACAGGCGTACAGGGCTTGTAAAGTCTGACCGAGTATGGCTGCAAATTAAATTCTTCCTTTATATGTGAATATGCACTGTGACCAGTAAAACTACCAGTTTCCACTCCAACTGTGAACACATTCTTCAAGTGGCAGTAAGGAAAAGGTATTTAAAGGGAAGAGAATCATTCCGATATTGTGCCCATTTATATGACAGGACTTGTACTTCCAATTTAAAGGGGCACTGAGTAACTTTTCTGGTTCGTGACCTGCTTGTCTCCATGCAAATGTTCCAGAGTATGGGACCGAACTGACCTGTCACTAGAGACAGACACATATATTAGTTGGCAGATATATCCGGACGATATTTGCACTTTTTAGTGTATTGGCTATCGGCCTTAAATCTCCAACAGCGGCCGATATTTTGTAGCTGCCTAAAAAAATTGCACAAAGCTTCATTTGAACTCTTCAGTCTCTCTCTCATCTTAGTAAAACTGGGTGGTAGATAAGTTTGTAAGGAATTAAAATTGTATATTTGGGGAAAATATATCAAAATTTACACTACATATCGGCAAGAAGAAAATATTTGCAGACCTTATCGGCCATCAGTTTTTCCACATTCTAAACAACTGATATCTTGGTATCTATTGGCATTGGCCAACAATGTCCTGACAATATCTCAGTGGAAACCACCAGCAAACTGGATTTTCTATGTACTGCAAATTCAATATTTCTTGTGAAATACTAAATTGGTGAATAAAGCCAGAATAAGCTAATATTATCACATGCAGACTGTGCCTAACTGAAAGAATAAGGTGAAGCATGAGATGAACCGAGGTTACTTATTAAGTGGTAACTGGGACAGCTGAGAGTCATAAGAGGTCAGTGACGTATTTTGTATGCGCAGAAGCTGAAATTACATACTTATGGAAACTGGAATGAGCTATTTATAGTTACAGTCATACTTGGCAATTTTTACTTTCTGTCCTATTTTTTACATAAGCATAACTGACCACAAGGGGACAGTACCTATTTTGATGTCTATAACAAAAGAAGAAAAGAATGAGAACTGCGCACATCAATTACTTGAGACGGATGCATTGGAGGAGAGTAAACAGCCCAAGAACGAGTCTCACTTGTAAATTGTGAGATTTAGTATTACAAACTGCAACATTTCGGCACTAGGCCTTAATCGACAACTAAAAACAAATATTCTATTTATTTAACAGTATTTCACATTTGAACACAGGCTCCGCAAATGTCCATATTGTATTTTTTCTTGAGTTTTCAGGCCTTAAATAATTTTAGACAGTGCTTGCTAATGTGTGCATTGTGTCATCAAGGTAACAGCAGAAACATTCTACCATACAGGAATACATGTAGAGCACCCCCAGCCACGCCACTGCAAATGATCAATTAGGACAAAATGTATTAAAAATCTAATTTGATTACATTTGAAGACATAGCATAAATGCTCATCTTGAACCTACTGCTGTTGCAATGTTTTGTTTTCTGTGTGCATGTTTTTTTTTATTATATGATTCATGCAAATAGCAATACTATATACTTTAGTCATATATTGGAGCAACATACATATATTTTGCTCTGTTAAAACTGTAAATGGATGTGTAATGTGTAAAAAGATTTTGCTTATAAATCCCCCGACGTCAATGGCACCAAACACTGACCTCAGCTCCAGAATACTTGTTGGTCTTGGACACCAGCTCGTCTATGGACACGTCTGGAGCTATGGGCATGCTCCTGAACTGCAGAGTGAAGATTTCACGCCGTGTCGAAGCATCGGGGAGAGGGACGTAGACGATCCGGTCAAGCCTCCCTGGCCGCATCAGAGCCTGTACGGAGAAGGACAACAGCTGTGATTACAATTTGACTTACATAACACAACACAAATCAGCCCAGGTGATAACATGTCAAACTGGCAAGTATAAGGAGTAATATTGGTAAAATATTTTGCACTCATAGTAGTTTTGGAAGTACTTTTAAAGGCGCTATACTTGATTTTTCACTGTTTTAAAACAATGTAGACAGAACTCATTAATTTTAATTGGTTTGCAACAGTAAAAAACTGTGATGAGTTTATTATTGTTTTTCAAAACTTTCAGAAGCCAGAGTCAAGGTTTGCTCTCACAGTAATGCTGACAATAACTAGAATGCTAACAGTGCTATTTCCTAGTTCATGGAGCATATTTTTACAATATATCTGTACTGGGACAAAACAAATGTTACTTTTTTACATTAAAGAAATGGGTACTGGCCCTTTAAGTAAAAAGTATTGAATTTTAATTAGATTTTAGTCTAGCAACTTACTACTGTTGCAGATAATACAACTATAAAGCACTGGCAAGGACACAAAATAATAAAAATAATGTATAGAAAATTACAGTGAAAAGATTAAATACTGGGAATCCATTCAGAAAGCTTTAAAAAATTGGTCTTGCAATTTCAATAGAAAAAACAAACAAACAAATAAACAAGCAAACTGAAGACTCATCTCATTTATGCTGCATTGGACAACAGTGGTGCAGAATATATGATTAGTTAGCCATTTTTAAGATGCTCTACATCAATACATTTTATCCCATATACATACAGCACATACACACTGGATTTAAACTGTAAAATCCAACAACAGAAGTAGCATCAAGAAACCTGCAATAGTGCTACATTTCCACTCAAAAGCCAGACTCTGAAACGTCCACTCGTAGCCGTCAGCATGGAGACGATGTTGACGTTATCTGATGGAGCCTGCACTTCCCACAGATCACATCTCGGTGACCCCACAACAGAGCTGGAGTGCGCAAAGCCGCGGCTGTCTCCTCTGTCAGACGCGCTTAAGTGGCAGGGACCTCTCAGCACAGACAGGCAGACAGACGCACCATACACCCTGTCTCCACGTGGTGTCCGACAGAGTCTTACTTCAGATATCTAATTATGATATTGGTCATTTTCAGTTTGATGATGTCATTCTGTTTGGGGAATAACTTGGCCTTATTTATTATTGACAAAGTCCATTATTCCAGTGTGTCTGTAAGTATTACCAGCACATTAGCAGTGATCATTTTAATTTCACCATGTAAATAGAACAGTGAGGTTAGGTAATATTATAAGCTTGGTTCTCTTGGTTTTATTGCACAAACTTATATATAACACTAACAAACATTTCTGGTGAAGGGTCTGCTGTCTGCTTGTCTTCAGATGTGATGAGTAGGGCTGTAGTATGGCATTAAAATTGATCCTTGGGCCTTTCTTTTGCTCAAAACTGCCTTGAAAAACATGCATGTGCAAGCTCGCCTCGTCACTGATCTGACCTGTAGAACAAGATAAGACAAGAGGAAATTTTGTAATAAAAAAGTTTTACAATATAACCAAGATTCTCATTCAACATTAAAAAGGCATACTTCAGCGATGTAACTATTAGCAGAGGACATTTTAGGAAGTTCTTGTGGCTCAAGCAAAGTGAGTGTATCTGGCAGCAGAGACAGCAGCAGGAGTTGGCGGAGGTCCAGACTGGTCACAGTGGGCTAAAGTCCTAGGCCAGCAGACAGACGCATGCATGGCAGGAGGGCCCGTCAGGACTGATCAGGGAAGCTGCAGGCACCACAGCACAAGGCTTTGAACTCTGCACACAACTGTCGTCATGCAGCCAGTTCAGCTAGGATCACCCACTTTCTCCAAGATTATCTAATTAGTATGGCGGTATCAAAATGTTATTAATTAGTGTACAAAGAGAAGTAAATCTGATGTGCAGGAAGAATGTAACAATACCCAACTCTCATGGTATTATGTAATTAATGCTCAGTGTCTTAGAAATATTACTGGCTAAATGTGATGTTTGAATTCGTTAATGTCCCATATTATGCCGTTTCCGGGTAGGTTTTTTGATGAGGTAATATTCTAACATGGCTAAAAGTTCACATAATACAGTAATATACGGCTATTTGAGTTCACATTTTCAAAATTGCACAGGTTTAAATTACTTAGGCCTAGGTAAGAGAATGTCCTGCACCTCACGTCATAGTGAGATGAGGAATTTGGTATTTTTGTTGCTGAAATGTGAACATTTGGCTACCCGAAGTTATATAGTTCTGTCACATACAAATGAACAGAGGAGCCAGTCTCTTGCGTAACAATGCTGATATTTATGTTATTTATGTGGTATCGTAATCAGTACAATATGTTAAAAGAGGATTAATGGTCTAGTGGCCAAAAACATAAACAAACATGGCAAAGGATCTGGGCAATTAGTAATGACTGCCTTGACTAGCTGTGTTTGTTAGCATCAGCATTAAAAGTCATGACTCCTTCTTAAGGAATGCACCGATACGATACTCAGAATCAGATGCTGGCACCGATACTGAAAAATTTGCTGGACTGGATATTGGCTTCCAAATATCGGTGCAGCTGATATCCTGGTTGGGCCAAAGAACTGATGTAATAAGACTATTTAGTGGTTGTAGTTGGTCTAGAAAGTCTCACAATGTTTCAATTTCTATTAAAGGTTGTATAGAGGATTTTTTAAGGGATACGAAATACAGCGACCGTCCTTTTTCAAATGTTGTGCATGTGTGACACCACCTTCGTCAGTAGAAACATCTCCTCCTCCCGCCTCTTTACTCTAGAAATCACATTTGTTTACATCCAGTGCATGTTCAGAATTACTGTTGAAGTGACCTGCCTAGAAATATTTTAGCGACCGATGCGACAGTTTTTAGACCCTTCGGACTTTCTTTTGCGGCGAACTGGTCGTGGATTCTCGTCCGCCGTCGCAACAAACTTTGTGCGAAATGCAAGGAAGCTACAGTTTGAAAAAGCCTCTAAGAACCGCTGCAAAAACCACATAATCCCCGAGCGCCGACGAGTCAGTTACACTAAAAATGTAGGGAGTTTGACTGACGACCTAACAGCCAATAGAAAAGAGGGAGCCTCGTTTTCTATTGGCTGATGTTTATCTGGCCTCACTACGTCCACAACTGATGGATTTTCATTCTTTCTTTTTTTTTCGGTCATCATAATTAAAAGGCTGCTCCGTCTCTGTAATGGTATTTTAAACTTTCAATGACAATTTTAAACTAAAAAAAAAAAAATCCTCCATACAACCTTTAACTTGAAGTTGTTCTGTGGTTATTTGATGGATAAATAACAGCTACATAACACATTTGGATCAGTTTTGTCTTATTATCTCATCCCTACTTAGAGATGATGCATAAATAACAATACATTTGTTACAGTAACAAATGACTACCCATTCGATTAAAACAAGGAGTCACTAAAACGAATGCCCATCTCCTTACGACATTGCAGGAGGCCACCATCTTAAATCTCTTGTTTTTATTCCCCCTCTGATTCCCATCTAACAACCCTGTGGACGCTCTTCCTGCCTTTTATCGTCTGCTGTTTTTCGGCGTTCCTGGATGTGTCTGGAACATGAGAGGATGGAAACTGGAGACAAACATTAAGAGCTAGCCCCGAGGTAACCACAACACAAGCGCTGGCCGACAAAGCATGCATGGATCAAGAGGAAGCGCGCATGTTTGCTAGGCCGTGGCTCCTTCCAAAGAGGGTCTTATGTGGGGAGACGAACTGCTGTTAAAAATAAATACATATGTTTGATGTCGGGGCTAGTCAATGTCAGCAAATGGGAGATTCTTAAACAGGCATGCAATATTAGTGGGTATAAGTTGGTAATCTTTGTCATTGCATGGTCCGTGAAATCGTTTTGACTCAGCTGACTTACAGATGTCAAAATTGTTCAAACTTAGCATTATCTTGATTTGAAATGTTGGTGGTGATGTTCAGTTAGTTTTGATGGAAAAAATGACCAAATGCGCAATCAGAATGTTTGTTTCAGCGTAAATAGACAACTGTTGCTAAGGGGGTAGCTAATATCAAGGCTACAGGTAACAGGAAGATCGTCAATCGAAGTCAAGGGTTCAAGGAACAATTATTTGCCCGTAAGGAACAACCGCAAAGACAAACGGATAAGATGTTGGCAGCGTGTTCAGGCCGGTACATTATGATTCTGGCAATTTGTCAACACCGCTTGGCACAGCTCGCAAGGTAGTATAACTGCACAGAGCGGGACTAGCAAAGTAAACACATTTTTATAACGCCTTGACAAAGCAAAAAAAACAGTCAATGTAAACTTTATGGTGGCTGTAACTGAATAACTAATATTGCAGTAATTGTAAAACTTGTAAAAAAACAAAACAAAAAACAGAAATAAAAATATGAGTCATACAATCTAGGTTTACTAAAAACAACAACATTGAAATCAGACCAAACTATCCAATTCTAGGATATAACCTGGAGCTTGGAGGACTGATGCCTGCTCAGACCAGATCATACTGCTGTTGTGTCCATCGGCAAGCCACTTCACCCAAATAGCCTTCTATGTATATGGTGTGTGATTGATGGTAGTCAGAGGTGCTGTTGGCATACATGGGCAGCCTCGCTTCAGTCAGTCTACCCTAGGGCAGCTGTGGCTACAGTAGAAGTTATGTAAAAAAGTGGAAAAAATGGATAGCACTCTCAGATGGCTGATTTCTAAAAGCTTTTTTTTTTTTTTTTTTTTTTTAAATAACATTTTGACAAAAAAATTTAAAAAAAGCATTCATCAGGTATTTTTCTTGCTTTGGACCACAGTAGGGTTATACCACCACTGACAATGGAGCAACTGAGTATCATGAAAAGAGCTACATAAGGTATATAAAGGCATTATTTATCTCTTAGGTCTTCTTTTTTTTCTAACACATGTAGATGCTTGTGGGTTAAGAGTCAATAATTTAGCTGGCTTGGCCAGGTGCCACTTAGTCTCATATTAAGTTGCTGTCAG